AAGAGTTCATATGAGCATTTGATTGAAGCATGCCACTTAAAATTTTGTCCACGGCTCACCCATATTTATCATAAACAAAGTGTTCACCACAAGATTCATGAGTTGCGATCAGAGTAAAACTTCATCTCAAATCAAAATATCACCAATCTTTTCCAAGAGCATTTCACCACACTTAATTGTTATTATTATTTGAAAGATAAAAGAGAACCAAACGAATGGAACAAAAGAAATATGGATATGATAGTACCTGCTTGTAAGCTCAAAACACTTTCATGTAGTGTACTCATGAAACAAAGTGCATAGGACCTTCACACATCACATTAACTATGCTTTATATAAACTATAGAAAAGAGGGCACAAACCATATGCTTGCAAGAGACATTTTTACACAAGGATACATCACTATGTTTAGATGCACATTCAACGAACAACTTCTCTTATAATCCATAAACTCATCTCGCAATGAAAGAGGTCAAGACTTCCTTTCTCTTCTTGCAACACATGAGTACTTATAGGAACATGAGAGAATTGCATGTAGATTTCTCCAAACAAACACAAAAGTTACTTGAAATTCCCCAAAACTTACTACCAATATTACTAGCTAAAAAAAGAAAAAAAAAAAAAAACCTCAAACACTATAATAAGGAGATTTTGGGACGGATTTCGCAAGTATAAATATGTAAGGGAACAATGTGGCTCAAAGCCTCATGAGTCACTAACCAAATATCCAAATCTTTTCTTAAAGGCATTTCAACGAACACCTCATACACGTGTTTTAGTGAAGAAGTGACATAACCTCTCAAGCTTTTGCCATCATTTACACCTAAATCTTCTAAGCCATATGACATAGAGCAAGTGTAGGTTCATATGTTAATTGTCTATTCCAAATCAAAATTAATGAACATGTTGGATATAAATATAAATTAACACGTCGTGATGAAATCAACTAATGTCCTCACAAGCAATTATAAATTTTTTAACATAATGAGCAAATGTGTTTCATAGGAGTGAGGTGATTATGGGTGTAGTGACACATGCACCATAGAGCTTACATTAGTTTTGCATTAGAATGATCTCTCATCAACCAAACCAACCACAATATTGCAAAGTAACGCTTGAAGGAATGATGGAATCTAAGGTAGAGGAATGAGACTAAGAAGAAACAGAGGAAAAAGAAGAAAAAAGAAAAGGAAGGAGAAGAAGAAAAAGAAGAAGAAGAAGAAAAAGAAGAAGAAGAAGAAGAAGAAGAAGAAGAAGAAGGAGAGGAGAACTCACCTGCAGTTTGTAGGAGAGATGGTCGGCCAAGGGAGGAGGCGGGAGCCGAGCTTGGTCCAGGCGACGTCGGGTCCGGCGAGCTCGCGCGAAAGGGAGTCCGATCCTGGAGATCGGGCTTAGCTCGCTCACGCGAGAGAGAGAGGGAGCGTCAGGCTGGTTCCGGCCTGGGACCGTGCGAACAGAAGAAGAAGACCGGGAGAGGGGGTCGGGCTTCAGCTCTAGAAAATCGGGAGAGAGAGAGGTCCGGGTGAGCGAGTGGAGCGAGAGGAAGAGAGTTCGGGGTCCTGGAGTTCGGTCTAAACTGAGGAGAGACGGAGGGGGAGGGGATTTCGGATTTCTCAGAGCAAGAGCAAAACTGAGAGGGAGAGAGAGAGTGCGTTCATCAGAATACCGAGCTCCGAACCTTCGTTCCGAGTAAATCAAATCCATTGTCGGAAGAGGAAGCCCGCCAAGCGACATCTTCGTGCCCCCAGCCTCCGAAAATACCATAAGCAGCTCTCATATCTGCCCGATGTCTGCCTCCGTCACAGAAGATCCCTGAGATGCGGGATACGGGCTGAAACGACGATCTCATTTGATCGTAGCCGTCGACGTCGTTTCCTGATTTAGGAAATAGATTCAAAATGTATAAAAAGTTAAATGACATTTAATAGGATTGAATTAGGTTGAGCTAAATTGAAATTGGCTAAGATTAGATTAAGTTCGAGTACGAATTCAGCTCGATTCGAGTCGAATTTGGTTCGAGCCGGCGCGACGAATTTAATTGGATGAAATTAAATTCAGGATAATGATCAATTTAAATCAAATTGGCACGACGCGACCGAATCAAACTAATCGAGTCTAGTTGAACACATTCGAGTCTGATCCGGCTCGAGTCGGGTCGATTCGAGCTCGAATCGGGCTCGACGGGGTTCAATTAGATCGGTCGAAAGTGCTCGAGCACGCTCGAGCCAAAAACGAGGTCAACATCACTGTCTCAGAAAGACAGTCCAATCGGCTAGCAAGGTACTCGAATCTCTCTTGGTACTCCGTCACTGAACCCTTCTGTGTCAAGGCGAAGAACTGCTCGTAGAAGTCTCCTCCCCTGCCCGTTCAGAAACGTTCTACCAAACAATCCTTGAACTCTCTCCAACTCCGTATTGGTCATCACATGTCCCTCCACTGATACCAAGACAAAGTCTTCCCTTCTAAACATAGGACTGCCGCCGTCATTCTCTCCTTCTCTATCAGTCCATTGACGACGAAATATCTTTTTACCTTGTAGATCCACCCGTGTGCATCCTCCCCCTCAAAGATTGACATTTTCAGTTTCCTCACTCTTGTGTCACACCCGTTTCCCCTAAATCCTCCATAACCTTCTATTCCTTGAAGCGGAGGTTCTCCCCAATTGTCATGATCTTTCCTCCGACGATCATACCCAAACCATTCATCAAAATCCCCTCTTCTTCTTTCAAAATCAGTACCCCGACGATCGAAATCATCCCCTCGTACAAATTCAGCACCCCTTCTTGCATAGCCAATGCTCATCTCCTCCCTAGAAAGTAGTTCTAGAGGAGGCATTCCGTCTTCTTCCTCTAGGATCTCCACTTCTGGCTTTTCCCTTCCCCTAAACGTGTTAGGGTTCCCATCTCTTCCATGGCCGCCGATAGTTTCCTTGCTTCCGATGTCACCGGTTTGGTTTTGGCTTTAAGCAATTTCTTCAACATGTCTTCCACCACGATGAACTTTTCCTCCATCTTTTCAATGACAGATGCAATCTGACTTTGAAAATAAGCCATATTTTCCTCAAAATCTGCTTTGAGTTGCCCAAGTTCTCCCTCCAAAACTTTCGCTTTCCTTCCGGCCATTGGTTCCCCTTCGATCGATGTGCTCTGATACCAATTTGATAGGAAACACTGGTAGATCTCAAGTATTTCCTATCAATCTTCGTAAAACAACGAGAAATTCTTCCAAAATCCAATGAAATCCAAGGAAAATTGTAGATTTTATTGCAAGAAATTAACTAACGGAAGAAAAACAAACAAGATACAATTGATCATCAATTCGAGAGGATCGATTTATCCCAAATCTCTAGATGCCGCTAGAGCACAAAGAAAACCTGAATCTAAGAGATCTCAAATTTTAGCCAAATTCCAGATGCCATAACCCTAGGAAAACAATCTATTTAATGCATACAAATCAAAAGGAAATCCCTAAACAGTCCCTACATTCAAATTTCCCTCCCAAAACCCTAAAAAATCCTTTCTAAAATGATCATTTGGGCGCATGCGGTGCGGTTGGCCACGTAAAGAGGTGGAAATCCCGCCTCGGTTCCGCCTGGGCCGGTCCCGCGCGGACCGGCTAGACCGGTCTAACAGGTATGTTTGAGGATTTGGGATATTTTTGTATGCTTTAAATACGGTGTTTTTCCTAGGGTTAGGGTGATGTATGTGTTTGCTGAAATTAGAATTTCCTAAGAGGTTTGGGCTCTAGCCGGCGGCTAGGAATTTGTGAGAGGCGAATCGTAGTTCGTTTTCTTTCATATATCATCAATTAAAAAGCTTTTCTTCTAGTTTTCCATATTGTCCTTCTCAATTAATGTTTGGATTTTGCTAAAATTAAATTTCAACCAAGGTTTTTCTTCTATTTCTACGAGCATTTCCTATCATAATCAATAAGCACATAATGGACGAAAACTTTACTTTGCAATAAAAATAGAAGTAAATGGAAGAATTTAGTTAGCACTACTTGAAAAGAGAAGCTCTACTAAGATGAAGAAATAATTTCTAACCATTAGAACATTATCATCTAACCTGAGGGCGATAGAACTATTACTCCTAAATTTCCACATAAATAGGCTTGGTTTATAAATAAAACTCTAGTGAAAGAGGTTATGGTCTAGTGAAGGATAGCCTTTTCTTTCCAAGCCCGCTTCTTCAATGAATCTCCTTTGAGAAGTTGTTAACTGCGGCCAAGCCATTAGAAACCAAGGCTAAGGAAATAAGGGGAAGAAAAAGATGGACGAGATTATACCTCCATTAAACTCAGTTATGCTCAGATTTATTGCTTCTGATATATGATTTTTGAATTAAATGTATTAGTAAGGATTATGTAGAAACAAATGAAAGCACTCCGTTATCCATGCTGTTTTCTTATGGTGGCTAAATGTCAAAGTTCACATATCATTTTAGAGTTCTGTTTGCTACTCCTATCTTCTGGTACGTGTCTATAGTGTCCCACTTTCTTCTGGGCCTCTGGCTAATTTTGTTAGCCATGGTTTTAAAGGATTTAATCACTGAGTTTCCTGATATTATCAAACTGTTCTTTTGAAATAAGCAAATCAATTCCAATTTAATGTATTTTTTTATATAGGAAAACCCTGGCTTCAAATTCTACAAAAAAAATTGTGCTTTATCAAAGATAATTTAGTGAAAAATAGACTTAGTGGTTTGGATATGTATGGAAAATGATAGAAAATGCGCAAATAACATAGGGAGTAGTTTTAAATAATAGGATAAAAAATAGATAGATTAAAACTAAATATGAAAAGGAAATATTTGCATAAAATATATTTCACTTCTCATGCAACAATCAATAAAGAACCCATATATTAAAACAAAATATACTTTGTATTTTTTTTGCACCTATACTTTTTCTTTCTGTAAACGGCAGAAGCATGGTGGTAATTATTATATTGTAAAGGCTTCTTCCTTGAAATTAGTTGAGCTTTTCCTTAAACTTTGCAGGGCACTGGAGGTAAGAGCATATATGGTCGTACATTCAAAGATGAGAATTTCAAGTGTAAGTTAAGAAGTACCTGCTTGATTTATCTTGTGGTGCTTATTTTATTTCCTGAATCCTTTATTTTCTTCCATTTGTTCTTATTTTCTAGTGTCTCATGTGGGACCTGGAGTTGTAAGCATGGCAAATGCAGGACCTAATACAAATGGGAGCCAGTTCTTCATATGCACTGCTAAGGTAAATAGCTAAGTAATTCTTCTTCCTTAGTTACCATGATTTGAAAGTTTAACTGCATTCAAAATTAAATTAGAATTTGGCATCCTTTTTTGTCTTTCATTGTTAAAAATAAAGCTGAAATTTATCAAGTTTGAGGTTGTAAAATGTGCTTTTTAAGTGCCTGCAAATTGTTTTGATTTTAAAGATTTTAAAGAATTTTAAGTTTTACAAATATATATTTATTGATATGGTAGCTAAAGCTAGTTACATTAAAGAGAATGAGATCAGGAGTCGAGACGCATAGAACTGGAGGAAGAATTGTTTCATTCCATGCATTATCATAGCTGTAATGGGCTCATTTATATAAATGCGTAGACGGAGTATCATTACAGGTGGCTGATATCTAGATAGAGGGCTGAGATTGGTTTGATGGTTGTGAACAAAGGCTATGATGGCTTTAGTAGAAACACTTATGAGCTTTTTAGCAACATTTAGTTATTGTTTTATATTGTTATCACCTCCCCTCAAATTAAGGGTTATATATTGAATTGTCAACTTGTCCCGTAGTTTTTTTTTTTTAAAAACTTGTCCCGTAGTTGGATCAAGCGTGTGGTGACAGGAGCTTTCGTTAAGATGTCTGCAAGCTATTCCTGAAAGGCAACATAATGAACAAAAGTATCCTTCTATTTGATGCAAACATGAATGAAATGATAGTCGATCTTTTGTTTATTTGGTGGGAGCATTAAAAATTATTCTATACATTCAGGAAATTAAATGGATTGTAGAGAAGGATAAGGAGATTGATAGTTTGGGATTTAAACTATAGTAATATAATTTTATGGTAGGAGTTGTACTATAAATGATATATGTGTGATTATAGATAAGAGTTTGAAGGATAATTTTGTAAAAAATAATAGAGTTATAGCTTTAAAGACTGTCGTTGATGTTAAGATTATTAATATTATACGCGCTTATGCTCCTCAAGTAGGTTTGAATGTGTTCAAAATTAAAATTTTGGAATGACATAGAAGAATTAATACAAAATATACCTCTCGAAAAAAGAGTTTCTATTGGAGGGGATTTAAATGGACATGTTGATAGAGAGGTAGATGATTTTAAAAGCATTCATGGTGGCTATGACTTTGGAGCGACTAATAAAGGTGTTAAGACTATATTAGATGTTTCTTTAGCTTATGATTATGTAATTGCTAATATCTTCTTTAAGAAATGAGATGAGCATCTCATCATCACTTATAAGAGTGGATATAGTAAAACTCATATTGATTATTTTTTATAAGAAAAATAGATCGTTTATATTGCAAAGATTGTAAATTTATTTTGAGTTAAAGTTATGTACCCAAATCTCTTATTGGTTTTGGACTTTAAGATGAAGTGGCAGAAAATAAAAAATAAAGTAAATCATTGTTGTAGGATTAGATGGGGGCATTTAAAAAATATTAACAAAAATATTTTTGAGAGTAAGATTCTATATCTTATGATTTTATTTATGCCTGGGTCGCGGCTTTGCCTATTCCGCTCGTTTGCTTCGTTCGTGTTATGGAAGCCGGTTCAAATGAACCAGTTCTTAAATATTGGGTCATGGTTTGATCTTTTATGGAGATGTCCTATAGTTCATTCTTTAATTGAATGATGCAAGAGTGATTTGTCTACTGCAACCGTCTCTCAATGGTAATCCATATTTCAGTGCATGAATCTAGGGTGAGGATAAATGGGACGAGGAATAATGATATGACGAAGTAGAGAGAAGCCTTGAAATTTTAGTCAATGAGCATTTATGTATTATATATATTTTGGGAGTGATTTAACCATCATTGTGGATGAGTTGTTTAGTCGGGTTTGGGGTGGATCCATCAAGGTACCTATCGATCCCCGTCTACTTAAAAGATTTTGAGAAATTGGGATCTCCATGCGAAGTGATTTTCTGGAGTAAGTTTGAGAGGATGATGTTCTTGATATTGGATACCATGAATTGTGTTGGAGAAGATCTATTCATACCTCAGAGAGCGGCCGGTGGATCCATACCTCAGAGACAATGAACCAAGGAGGCGATTGTTGGGAGATGAAATGAAGTAAGATGCGTCGTTAGGCGGCGACACACTGACACCATGATAAAGTAGCTAAAGCCAGTTACATTAAAGAGAATGTGATCAAGAGTAGCAAAACATGGAATCAGAGGAAGAGTTGTTTCATTCCATACATTATCACAGCTACAATGGGCGAAACAGAGTATCATTAGAGATGATTCATTACATTTTAGATAGAGGTTGATATTGGTTTGATAGTTGTGAGCTAAGGTTTATGATGGCTATTGTAAAATTAGTGTTTGTACCTTCCAGCAACCTATTGTTATTACTTTATAGTTTATATTAATAATTTGTATCATAGTCTTTTTTGTGTCTTAGCTGTATCAGAATTGATTGCATCTCTTATTTTATACTTTGTGAATGGTTCAGCTACATTTGAATGTAGTGTCCGAAGTGCTTGAGGAGAAGCTATTCTAATCTTTGCATGACTAAAGAGCTCATGGATGAAATTGATTTTGTTATGCATTTTAATACAAAATGTTGGGGTTTGTTGCAGACTGGATGGCTGGATGGAAGGCATGTTGTGTTTGGGCAAGTACTGGAGGGCATGGATTTTGTTAGGCTTATTGAGTCACAGGAAACTGACCGTGGAGATCGGCCCAAGAAGAAGGTGACTATCGTAGATTCTGGAGAGCTGCCAGTGGCTTGAAGGTGTAGGCCGTAGGGAGAGATCAGAATTTAGTTTTGAGAGAGAAAGACAGAGAGAGATGCAGTTTCATCACCATTGCTATTATTGTTTACTTGCTGAAATTATTATATTGTTATATGCATGCATGGTCATATTAAACAGTTTGATTTAATTATATATTATGTAATTTGATCATAATATGATTTAATTTTATATAGTTTTTATATAATTAGGTTTGATCATATTTGGAGTAAGAGTCTTTCATCAGGATATATGATCAGCTTTGATTATATGAAATGTTTTATCAAGGAAGATACAAATTGAATTATAGTTTCACAAGTGCCCTTCTCTCTGCTAGGTCATTCTCCTATTCAAGAAAAGTAATGTAATAAAAGGGTAATATGAACGAGAGATTATTTTATGCGGATGTCGAACACAGTTCATTTTTCAGAGACCAATAAGAATGCACCACTTCAGCGGTGCCAGGCCGAGTACCAAGCGGTACCGAGCAGGGGGTGACGTGGCGTATTCTGGTTGATCTCCGGACGATGTTCGACGTCTGCACAGAATAATTTCAATATGAAGACATTGCTCGTTAGAGCAAAGGTCACATGTGAGACGTGCATTTCATCATGAAGAAGAATAATATGCTTGATAACAAAGATAAATAAAGTGCGACATCAAAAGCTTCTTATATTTCTAAATAAAAGAAGTCACTAGAATTTGAAGTATAGGGATATCACCAAATTGACTTATAAATATGGCCCTTAATATATGTTTTTTAAAGAAACCGTGAGAAGAGAAAAAATAGTGAGAAACACATATAGGAGGACAATCAAGTGAAGAGTGAGCAGTTGCTAGGATAATAAAGCAAAGTGGAATATTATATATGGAGTTTCTTATATTTCAATATAAAAAATATGAAGATATGTAATTTTTTGGATATTTAGATCAATGAAGATAATTTTTTTCATATGAGAAATTATTTGATGTGAAGTTCGGACATAGCTCTACTCAGGGATTCCAATCAACTATCGGCACATATTTTTTTGAATTTAGTTATTTTTGCAACCAGGCCATAATTTTTACTGTTGCACGACCAGACGATCAAGGCCGACTATTTTGCTCCACTATTTAGTTGGCATTCCTTTTAAACAAAAAATGCTGATTGGTTCATAGATTTTAACGTTTATAGCAAATATAATTTTTTCCCAAATCGTCTCCAAAATTTTCAACATCGAATCAATCAAAGAAGAAGATGGATAATGATTTTGATGACGTTTAGATTCATACACAAAAAAAATTCATGATCTCTTCCTTGATATCAAAACTCACTATATTACTAAAGTAAGCTTCTATGTGCGCGCCATATGAAGCCACCATAAAAGGGCAGCTTGGCTTCCGATAAACTGAAAAACCAGTCGTTGCTTCGATCAAATTTGAATTTAACTGAAGCACCGATTCAGTTCGGCTCCGTGGTGAAATATATGGTGTACGGGTTCGGCAAAGGAGGGCCTTCGCCTGCGGAAAAATACGAGCAATTAGGGTTAGCCGATGCCCTCTCTCGCCCTTACGATTACTCGCCAGCCTGCCAGGAGCTGGCTCTCATCCTCAGACGCGCTTATGCGAAGCTTCCCAAGAATGTTCAGTCCCTCGTCTTCCGCGACACGCTCTCCGCTTTTCGCCTTCTTCCCCAGTTAGTTTTATTTCCGTATATTTTTCTCCCATTTTAATTTTCAATTACTCGATTGATAATGGTTCTCTTTTTTATTATTTTTGATTCTTCGAAGCAAGCATCGATGCTCATTTACACCGGCTAGTCGTAAATTGGGAAACCTATTTGAGTACTAGGGGTTTTCCTATCTAAACTACTTGAGAGTTTTGCAATCGTGGACCTAATAATTTTAGGTTACTGAAGGGTGATCAGGTACACTATTAGGGTCTTGAACAAGCAAGGTATTGCAGATGATGTTATGCAAATTTGTTTGTGTATTGGTAATATAAATTTCATACAGTAAAGAAAAATCATATGGCCACAGGTTGTAAATTTCCCTCAATTTTGCTGTCCTCTATAAGCTTTGAGTGATAATATTATAAATAGAAGCACCTGAGTGCACGACCAAATGGGGAGTTGGGGGTGGGGTGGATGTTTTAGAAGATGAAATTGCACAAATCACAATAGAAATAATATGCATTTATTATAAACAAATGTGCAATTAAAAAAAATAAGTATTAGAAAATCCATACATTGTGGTGGACAAAGATGTTGAATAAATAAATAAATTGATGTAAAAAAAATGAATTTTGCAAAATGTTGCTCCACACACTTAAGTTTATTTTGATTTCTATTAAAAAAAATGAAAAGTTTGGTAATTAAATTGTTGTAAAATAAAATGATACATCCAAGTGGATGTGGACCGCAATAAAGCAAACAAAATATTGCAAGTAGTAAATTTTGTTGTTGCAAGTAGTAAATTTTGCAAGAGATTATCAACATACCTAAGTGAGTGTGGACTGCAACCTTAAAAGAAATATGAAGTTGTGGTGCTTAAAGATAGTTGCAGAAGTGTATTGACGTACTCAAGTGACTTTGGGCTGTAAAGTAAAAGAAAATGAACATTGCTGTAAATTTAAAGAGTTGCTAAAAATGTATCCACTTGCTCAAGTAAATGTGGACAGTAACTTTCAAAGAGAAGTATCTGTAAAATAACTAAATAGGAGAAAATAAATGCTAATCTATAGTGAATTGCTTTTCTAAAGATATTCTCTTGGAGTTCATGAGATATTCTTTTTGCAGTTGAGCTTTAGTGTACAACTACTTTTGCCTTATAGATCATCATACATCATCTTTCCAGCTCCATATATGAATCTATTTATTTATATCTATGTTTCTACAGTGTTGAACCAAGCATCGGAATTCCAGCTGCAAATCTTCTTGTCCAAGCTAGTGAAGCTGCACTACCCAAGCAGAAGAAAACACTGGCTTCCTCTGAGTTCAAGCATGTTGTGGTTGCACAGAGGAGGCGTGTCAAAGTTCTTGAACATGAAGGTATGACATTTTCTTATGTTGCTTTTTGATACCCTATTTTTTTCTTGCAAGGGCTTGTGTTCAACCAGGTAATGAGCTATTCTACATCAAGTTATTTTTAGTTTCCATTCTTAGTGAAAATATTGACGCATGGGCATATTTTAATGATGCTGGCACTTTCAGGAGCTACCATCGTAAGCACTCTATTGATGTACGAATGTAGACGTCTGATACATGAGTAAAATTGACCCTAAAGGCTTGTTCAAGGCGCTTTATTGCAGCATTAAATAGTCTATGCGAGCATTTTATACTATGTACCTGATGCATTTGTGCATGTTACTTTGACCTGCCAAAATTCTCTCTGGACATTCTTTGCCCTCAAATCCACCTCTCAAAGAACCATTATTTTTAGTATACTACTGAGTGGAAACTCTAGCTCTTGAACCATGATTTTGTTTTTATTATTATTTTTTCTTCTTTTCTGACTTTTTTGTTGCACTTGCTTTATTTATAAGGCAGCTTATTTAGGGTTTTCTTAGATTGATGAACTCCACCTTTATCTTTACGCAAATGAGCTTTTCATTTTTAATGGTGCTCGTTAGTTTATGGTTTTTGAACATTAAACAATTAAATGTGAATTGGCTGATCTTTATTATCATGTTTTTATTGATTTTCACTGTCCATGAGATTTGCTTTAAAATTTGAATATAAGCATTTTAATAAAATTGATATATCATAAAAAAATAATGTTGATCGGGCACAAATCTTGAAGCAAAATCATGTTGGAAGCTTCAAAAATTAAATCAGAAGCCATCTGAACTCCGATTTCAACAAACTTATAGTTGAACCGAACGTCTCAGAAATACGAACTCAACGACACCAAATTCGACTCAATCTGAGCCCAAATCGGTCCAAATCGAAGGCCTGAAGCACATTTAGAAGGTTCAAACCACAATTTGGATTGCCAAATGATTTCCAAACATGACATGCTTATAGTCAAATCAAGCAGCTTGACGAGACGAATCCAACAAGCCCAAGATCGTCAAATTCCGATATCATTAGAGCCTTCAAATGCCTGATAAACGACCACAATCAAGAGATTCAACATCGGCCGTTCTTTCAAATCACTCCCGATCCACTCATGATTTTCCACCTATTTACTGGCCATGTCACTCTCAGAAAACTATAAATAGACCCCTCATTTCTCTTGAGAGGGGACCCAAGCAAGAAGAGAAGAGAAGAAGAAGAGAAGAGGAGGGAAAAAGCTCCTCCTTCACCACCGCTGGAGTTCCGCTCGACTTTCAAGTGACGCCGGAGTTTCGCCTGACTTTTAAGTAACGCCGAAGTTCTGCCCGACTTTTAAGTGACGTCGGAGTTCCGCCCGACTTTTAAGTGACGTTGGAGTTCCACCCGACTTTCAAGTGGCGCCAAAATTTTGCCCGACTTTCAAGGGATTCCGGAGTTCTGCTCGACTTCCAAGTGATGCCGAAACTCCGCCCGATTTCCAAGTGACTCTGGGATTCAACTCGAATACACAGCATCATCGAATATCAAATTCTTATTTGTAACTGGATTTCAATCATTGTAATCTGATTGTCCTAAATTTTAAGGATGAGTCAGCCTCTTGTACCTCAAGTAACACTAGTGGAATTCTCTCAACTGGGCGTGACCCTGTGGTTTTTCCCTTTACTGGGTTTCCACGTAAAAATATTTGTGTCTTATATCTTTTCTGTTTGTGTGTTGGATATTTGTATAATGCTGAGACAAAAAATTCAAACTCTATCGCCGCGTATATTCTAGCCCCCGCAACAAAAATAATTAAATGAACAAAATGATTACTGGATTTTTTATGCGTGTTCATTTTGATCCCTGACTTGTTCAAGCATTCTTTTTAGTCCCCAACCATCAAATTTGAACTATTTTGGTCCCACCACAACTATTTCAGCTGTTTGGGTGAAAATTGGTGGAGGGAAGCTTTCTTTGAGGGCCTTTTGAACTTCTTAGAATTAATCTTATTTGTTTCTGTTGTTAAGTAGTTAGATTGGCCCCAAAATTTTTATAATATCTTCATGTAAAGCTTCCCCGCCAATTTTTGTCTAAGTTGATGGTTGAACTAGATTGGTTCGAATTCAACGAGTTGAGGGATTAAATTTAAACAACAACAACAACAACATAAAACCTTTATCCCATTACGTGGGGTCAGCTACATGAATCTTTTTCCTCCATTGTGTCTTGTGAAGAGTCAAATTCTCATTTAAATTTAATAAAAAAAAAGGTTATTTCTAATATTTTCTAGCCAAGTCTGTTTAGGATAAATAGGTTTGGGATTGTTTTTGTGCTTATTATTGATAAAATTGGATAAAAATTCCTGTTTGCTCTTACAATCGTTTAGGATAGCAAGGATATGAAATGAGCATATACGTGAAAAGGTTGGAGTAGCTCCAGTAGAAGATAAGATTAGAGAAAGTCGTCTTAGATGGTTTGGTCACATAAAACGGCGGCCTTCCAATGATCCGGTTAGGAGAGTAGAGGTATTAGATTTGACTTATGTTAAGAAAGGTAGAGGCAGACCTAAGAAGACTTGGTTTGAAAATATTAGGAATGACCTTTCTTTATTAGATTTAAACGAGAATTTGACCTTTAATAGGACACAATGGAGAAAAAGGATTCATGTAGCCGACCCCACGTAGTGGGACAAAGGCTTGATGTTGTTGTTATTGTAGGGTTGTGGATTGTTGTTGTTGTTGCTCTTACAATCGTTTATTTTCAATCTTTTTATGATGGTCTGCTATTCAATTTGTCCTTTATTCATATGATCTATTGCTAATTAACTATGTATAATGCTAATTAATTGCTTAAGCAACAAATGTGTTGAATATTGCACAAAATTTGACATTTTATAGGATCAAGTGTACACAATACCTGTCCCATCAAGTAGTTATTATGGAATACGTGTCACAACTATCCAAAGCTAACATTATTTTAATTTTCATACTTCCATCTTGTAATACTTCATTTTTGTTATAAACTGCATTTCCCAGGTTATACACACCTACCTCAGGATATCCTTCTCCATGTTTTCAGATCGCTTGACATGAGGTCTTTGGTCAATGCTAGCTCAGTTTGCTGGTATTTCTTCCTTCCTTTCTCTTTTGAAGAAGTTATTTTTATTTTGATTGTACTAATGTTCCTTTATCCCTCTAGGGAGTGGAATACTGCTGCAAAAGCAAATATATTATGGATGTCCCAGTATTCCATAATATTTGGCAAGTTTGATATTTCTGTCAAAAAAAAATTTTGTGATTATGCTGATGAAGTCGCTGGTGTCAGGATTAAAGAATGCAAAGACCTATCAGTTAATTTTGATTGGAGATGGGCTTTTAAAATGAGATTCATGAGTATGTTCCATCCATTTGACACTTTCTAGAAAATATCATTGTTTTCAATATGGATTCCCATGCCCTTAGTGGTTGGGCTCATCTATGATCAAATGATGTTGTGAAATATGTTGTTATTTCTATGTTCATCTTATGTTGTTATCCAAGTGGCTCCTTTTGGCGTTGGGCTTGCCCATTCAGACAACCAATCAACATGGGCATACCAATATGGTTCATCAAAATTGTGCCAACTACAGTTAGGGTGAGCTATTTGAAGAGTAGGAAGCTGACCAACATTGATAAACCAAGATTTCTTGGTGGATGGCTAGGTTTATCTTGCATGAAGTGCATGGTAGCACATGGAGCTACATTAAAGGGCTGCACAAGAGAAGACAAATAAAAATAATAATAAGCAGGATTAGCAACCCTCCCACCTCACCACCTTCTCTCTCTTAAACCACAAGCAGCTGCCCCTTGAAGATAAGAGTGAAAGGAAAAGGAGGGGGATAAGGAAAGGATGAGGAGTATACTTAGGTTATAAATTTTTTCACATTTCATGGCACGTAATTAGAATTCTTTTGTATTGATAGGAGTTTCCATTCATTAAAATTTAAGTTTCTATTTATCATGAGTATGTTGATAAATCTTCCTTTGTGCTCATTTCTATGTGGAGCAAAGTTGTTTTGGTGGTTCGAAACCAATACTTATTAAGTTTTTTACCGGTCCATTGTTTATATTCAAAGTAGATGGTGTATGCATTTTTTTTTTCTATGCTTGATTAAACATATTCTGTCAGTTTTTTTCTAGCAAACAATTTCAAGAATTATCTTTCTAATCTACTTTGTTTCTTTTGTTGGTTGCTCTTTAATATCGTGGTCCTTGTGTTACTGATTTTAAAATTGCTTAATTCAACTGCCTGTTTTGAAGAAAGTTTAAACTGAAAATAGATTCAGTTGCACTATGTTGTGACATGTATCTTCCTGCATTTGCTTGCCTGTTCTTCTGTACCATTCATCACAAGTTACTTGGAACGCTAGCAAATTTTTTCTTAAGATTGTTGATTGTACATACTCACCCTATTACAGATTGCTCTGCTTGGAGATCCAGACCGCATCGAGCAGTTTGTATGCATTGTGAATCAGTAATCTGGCTCAGTGGGTTAACATCTGATACACCTCACCATTGTCCTAAAAGTGAAAAAGGCAGGTTAAAAATCAAGCCCATTCCAGCTTATATGGTAATGTACCCTATATATGGATTTATAATTTAATCATGTCTCCATAAATGCAAGAGAAAGTTTATTTGCTCATTTTGTAACGGTGAACGCCATCCATGCAGTTAAATCTGTTCTATGGTTTTGAACACGTCATGTGATTGCCTATTTTTGTGTTATTGGATTTTCAAGTCTTTATGATACCTTCCCTTCAATTTTCTTCTCTTTGATATAGTTTCTTTACTGATCGAAAATTTGGTTGAAGGGGCTTTTGGAGGCCTTATTCCAACATTTATAGGAGAGTATTGAAGCTATAGCTCTATCCCATTTAATGCCTTGGATGAATTTCTTATTTAAGAACAATGATGTTCCAGGTTTAATTGCTTATGGTTCTTGTAGCTGACTTGTTTTGTATGTGATGCTTACTAAAGAAAAACCTTGTGTGCCAAAGAGTTTTGATTAGCTTGCTAAACCAATCCGGTAGTTTAGCTTGTCATCATCATAAACCCCAATTAAAGGATTAGATGATTGAAACCCATTAAAATTAAATAGAAAACCCAATCAGTGGTTAGAATACCTGCGGGAAGTTAAGTTGGAATGGAAGCTAGAATATAACTCAAAACTTGTTACTGATGTTGAAAGCCTCTCCATCCGTACTCCCTTCGCTTTTCTTCCTTCAAATGATTCTTGACCACGGAGGCATCCCATGACACGGGCCTTCACAACCTTTTGGCCAACTGCAAATTTTCTTATTTTGGAAACTTGCTAGGTCTTCTCTCACAGATCCCACGTAGTGGAATAAAGACTTGATGATGTTGTTGTTGTTGGAAACTTGCTAGGTCTGCTATAAGCACACATGCTCTGAAAAGTGCACCTGCTATAGATTAGTGCCTATATATACATATATATATAATTAAGAGCTTCACTATTGCAACAATATCCAATCTCTATAAACTGAATTGGTAAGGCTCCATGTAAAGATATCCATCCAATAGTTTCCGTATCAAAGGAGAGCCATCCAGCCAGCTCCAGCCAGGTGGAAGATTTGCAACAGAAATTGGTTGGTCTGTAGGTGACAGCATGTCTAAAACCACCTAGTTCTTTTATAGAGTGGGCATTTGAAGAAACATCATTAGGTTTTTGAGTCTTGAGAATGTCTCTTCAAGATCCTTTGGTGGGCTTCTTGCAACTTGTTTTTCAGTAAGAGGTCCTTCATGTTGATTTTGATGTTACTCTTCTTATAATGCCTGAAGTCATTGCCCATTAATCTTTATTGGATCATGCCAACTTTTTTGAGTCTAAACAGCATGACTAAATAGCAGTACACGGCATTGCATGTGATCAAAATCATTTTATTTTCATCTTTAGCGTGCATTTTAATTTGATGGTAGTTGGAGACATCATCAAGAAGCTTGAGTGGTTGGAAGTTGATTGATTTGTTCACTGGAGAATCAATGATGGGAAGAAGATAAGAGTCTTTGGGGGAAGCTTGGTTCGAGTGATAAACTCTATACGTCCTCCATTTTGTAGTATTGTAGTAGATTTCTTTAGCATTGAAGATCCTTTTTATGTGTTGGACCCCCAGAATTAACTCGCTTGCAAGGAGCTTGTCTAACTCTAATATAATGTAAATATGCATCTCTATTGCCACCTATCATTTTATGTGCTTTATTTTCTTGCTTTTGTGATGGGCATTTGGCCGATGGCTCACAACTAAGATATTCACACTCATTTTCTCAAAATGTTCCCATGCAAATATATTTTTTTCGTTTCAATAAATATGGCTTTTATTTCCTCTTCATCATGTTTGAGTCAATACTTAAAACTTACTCGAAGGATCTCATCATTTGGGCGTTTGACGAAGTTAGGTATCACTTTCATGGTTGAATGAAGTTCCTTGTCAACACTTCGCTAAGATTATTCAGAATCCTGACAATCATATAGTGCATAGAGATGATAAGCACCATGTGAAGTATTTTTTCAATAAAAAATGTTGTTTAACGCACATGCAATGATCTCTGACATCAACAATTGGTCTTCGTTCAAAAATGTGCAAATTTAACTAGTGGATTCTAACGAAATAAAGATCATGGTTATCTTTTGAGATTTGTATTTTTACTTTTCTAGATCATTTTCTTTGAAGACTTCCGACAACTAACCTGTTTGCCTTATCTGTTATCATCAGCTCGTAGACTATCTACTGGGAGCGGAAGACAATTGCGAGAGTAGCAGACATAACTCGGCTTTCTTATTCTCTGAAAGTGATGACAGTGATTCTGATGGCTCTCCAGCCCCTAAATGGTTGCCTAAGTTGTGGGCCTTACCTAGGCTGGTTGACTGAATTTTTGAGCGAAATTATGAGGTTTGTCAACAAAGCGTGCTCTTGAATGTTTATATGATCCTTTTTGAATAAATCTATTAAACCGCTTCCTTCGAAGGTCCTTGGTTAAGAAATTCGGCAAACCTCTTCATTCTGAATAAAAAATGAACTCATTTGTTATATATATATTTAAAATTTTCTACTTTTTGAGAAAACTGAGTTCATTTCAACCACTAGTTAGATTGTTTCAAGTCACATTCTGAGATTTGTTCAGCTTAAAAAAAAAAGGATAATAACATACATGCTTCCAAAATTCATATTGCATCACTTAAACCTTCATGGTTGATGTTTTTAATAAATTATTAAGTAGTTTTGCGATCAATTGTTTTAAAAAAAAGAACTTGCCAACAAGCCCAAGGTGATTGTACGTTTGTTGAGGCACAGGTGACTCATGAAGATTTCCTAAATGTTTAAATGTGGCAATATATGTGATGATGCTCAAGCGCCTACAAGCTTGGTAGTCCTGCTATCATGGAGGAGATTCAATAAATTTTCAAATCTATTTCCATTGCTATGAATGAATAATTTGATGAGGTCCATGGAATCGATGGGGTGAATTGTCTAGCTGTTGGCAAAGCTTAGGTTGATATGTCGGCTAAAGGTTGCAGAATCTAATGAAGTATCTGAGCTTTGATAGAGTTTGAATTGAGGTTGTGATCAGGAGATCAGTTGACTTGTCGAGAAAATGCATGGATGACTAGTCGAGGGAATTTAGATGTTATAAAAATTTGTCAAAGTTGTGAAATATTGGCGAGGCTAAATGAGTTGTATGATGTTATAATGATCCCTTGCTCGAACTATGATATAGTCAACACCACTTGTAACTTCTACAAGTTCATTCATGATATTTTGTAACAAACTTTCCCATTCTTTTCATTGTGATCAATTTACCCTACCCATATAAAGGGATTTCGTAGGACTTAAAATATTCATAGTTAATTTGGGACAGTTTGATTGGTTGAAAAAGAATGCAATGTAAAAGGAATGAAACGTAAAATGAATACTTTGGAGTTGTTTGGAAGAGTTTAAAATGAATGCATTATTTTTTTATTTGATTTATAGTAAAATGAATGCAGTATAAAATCTAAAAAAAGTGGTGGTTACTGGTGGTCGATGATAGTGGCGGTTGACGGTGAGTCACCGACGACCTGTGGTGGGCGGCGACGGTGGTGGGCAGCGGTGGAGGTGGTGGTGGATGATGGTTGTGGTGGTGGCCGGTGGGTGGTGGCTGGCGGTGGCGGTGACGGTAGCGGCTGGTGGAGTGGTAACAGACAACAACAATGACAATGAATTTATGGTGTATTTGGAACTTGCCCAAATCCGAGGAATTCTAAATATACCAAAATTAAACTAGAGGGTGAATTCCAAATGCACCAAGATTTTATACTGAATTTGTTTTATTTCAAACCATACACAATATTCTTAAAAACCCTTGCATTTGAAATGTTTTACACCCATTTTATTTCAAACCAAATAGCCCCTTAATTAATTTTGGAGAGAGTTCTCTTGAAGAGATTTTTAGAAGCAGGGAGTGATTAGAGATAGAATATGAGATTCAAGAAATTATTCCTTTTCCTATTTTTATAATTGTAAAATTTTCTTTTTAAGTGAAACATTTTTTCCTTACTCCAAACTAAGGATTTAGATTATCCCCCTTGTTCTGCCTGCTCAATGTGTTGGTTATATCTTCAATTACCGTCTTGTGAGTGTTTAGGATCAAGGTGGTATTCAAGTGTTATGTTTGAAAGAATTTTGATGCATGTGTTGCAAAAAATTGGCTAGAAGATAAAAACCTTTTGCTGCTTTAGATATTTCATAAAAAGGAGATCAGTATGCATTGTCAAGGCAATCATACAAGGCGAAAATGTTGTTGACTTATTTACTCAACTTGCACTCTTTCAATAGTAGATGATTGTGGTATTTGAGATGACGTGTTAGTAAATCTTGATAAATCTTGATAGCAAATGAAGAACCATCATATGAGGAGATCTATTCCAGAGGAAGATTTGGTTGTTATGATAACGAGAAATCGATGAATATTTTGGCGAGTAAGAAAATGCCTTAGGCATAGAAGATGAAATTCTTGAGCTTTCTTTTAGCGGATGACGCGAACTTATACCCCTAGTTTTGATGGTTCTATTGACTTTTGAGAAGTTTGACACATTGGTGGATTAACTCGAGACCTATTTCAATCTCTATGGGTGTTCCTCTTACGAGAATGTCTTGTTTGTTTGTTTGCTCACTTAAAATGCACTAAGCATGCAATGATAGTGAAACACCATCTCAAGCATGGGTGTTAATGAGGTATTAAAAAGAAAGATTGAGGAAGTAGCATGGTTGTCATATCGGTACGATCAAACAATGTAAGTATATATTACAAAGTTCAATTACTTCAATAGATAAGCACCGATGATTGGTGTCATTGGAAAGTAGTGTAAGAATATACTACAAAGTTCAATAGATAAGCCCTGATGATTGGTGTATAGGTGCCACCCTACAAAGACCTATTTCAATCTCTATGGGTGTTCCTCCCATGAGAATGCCTTGCTTTCTTGTTTGCTCGCTTAAAATGTGCACTAAGCATGCAATGATAATGAAACATGCATCTCAAGCGTGTGTGTGATGGACCGGTTCACCCGGTCCATCCTCCTGAACCCGTGTGGGTCTACAGACGGAGAAGGGAAGACGGGCGAACCCGCTGGGAGCAAGGAGAAGCCAAGAGCCACTACAAGTGAAGGAAGAGAGGAAGAATGATCAAGGCAAGAAGGAGGTGCTCATCGAGTAGAAGGACTTACCGACACATGAGGCTACTTGGGAGATATACGAAGCCATGCGGGAGCAATTCCCAGACTTCAACCTTGAGAACAAGGTTGATCTTATAGAGGGCGGTATTGATGGACCGGTTCACCCGGTCCATCCCCCTGAACCCGTGCGGGTCTATAGACGGAGAAGGGGAGACGGGCGAACCCGCTGGGAGCAAGGAGAAGCCACGGTGGGCCCCATGGGCCCACCTATGTGATCATGGGCATCATTGGGGTGGGGGGAGGGCGAAATTCTGGGAGGAGATTACATGGTTGTTTTGGAGGAGGTTACATGGTTGTTTTGGAGGGGTAATTTAGGGATGTGGGATGAATTTGGGATGGTATTAAGAGGGCAATTAGGGTCAGTTTTTCTTTATGCTGATTGAAACTTTTCTATTGTTTTCTTTTTGCTTTTTCTAGAGTTTGTATTGGGAGACCTTGTCCTTCTCGAATTGGACAAACTTATCTTATTTTCTCTTGAATTTTAATAGAATTGTTTTTCTGTTCTTCATCCCATTTCTCTTGTGATTGCTTTTCTTTGGATTTGGTGGAGAAATTCTCTTCAAGTGAGGGGAATTAGGGCAAAACTGAAATTGAGAAACCCTAGGGCGTATCAGTGTGTTAATGATGTATTAAAAGAAAGATTGAGGAAGTAGCTTGGATTGTCACATCGATAAGATCAAACCATGTAATAATATACTACAAAGTTTAATAGACAAGCCCTCAGGATTGTTGTCATTAGAAAACATCTACTTTGGACGAAAATTGTTGTTTTGCTGCAGACAAATTTTCCAATGATTTTTTATTCACCAACAAAGATATTGGTCATGTTAGTATGTTTGTCATGACCATCAAAAGAAAGAAGCACAGAGCTCTCCAATGATAAGAACGAGGATATGCAAAGGTTTTCAAATGAAGAATGGGATCCTAAGAGGTTCTACTAATGATAATGCCACACGAATCTCAACTTATACAATAATTTCTATTTTTTGGAACTCTTCCCAGAGAAGTTAAAGAAGGATGCAAGGGTAAGAAGTTGGTAAATATAATAGACAGGGATCCCAATAGGCACGAGGAGATGTTCACTGCTTAGAAACTTGCCTAATCTTTATAGGCCATTTAAAGTGAAATCAATGTTGTTGGATCCCGACATAATTTTGGACATGATTTGATGCAAGAGAGGGAACTTGTAGCATACTACTTTGAGATGTTGCAAGTTGCTTTGAAGTATTATTCGACATATGATCATAAACTTTGTGGACTTTATGAAGCTGCGAGTCATCGAATTTCTTATATGCTTGAAAAAGAAAACATGATTCAAAGTAACCACAAATTATTTTAATGCCTATTGCCTATACTCATAATCAAAGCTCCAACAGGTGTGACATATGAAGTAGATGGTATATTTGCAGCAATTGAATTTGGCCATTAGGTATAAGAAGGGAGTGTGTAATAAGATGGTTGGCATTCTCCCTCCACCTTCGCCAACTCCATTGGCAATAATGCATTTGTAACATTCTAGAAATGATGAGTATGCTGATCTCTATAAGCTTGATGATGATTTTGAGATTTTTTTGGAAGGATCTGTTAGACCGGTCCAGCTGATCCACACAGGACCAGCCCATGCAAATAGAGGCGGAACTTCTCTGCCTCTCTTGCAGGGCTGATCAAGCCGCAAGTTTTCGGGTGCCAAATAGGAAAGAATTTTGGGGGAATTAAGAGGGAATTTTGAATGTAGGGATTGTTTAAGGAATTCTTTTTGATTTGTATGCATTAAATAATTTGTTTTCCTAGGGTTAGGACATCTTGAATTTGGCTGAAATTTGAGATCTCCTAGATTTATGTTTTCCTTTGGGCACTAGCGGCGTCTACAGATTGGGAGAGATCGATCCTCCTCTCGAATAAAGGATCAATCGTATCTAGGTATTTTTAGCTTTCTTTTCATCAAATAATACAAATTATCTATTGTTTTTGTGGTTTAGTGTGGAGAATTCTCCCTGTTTTTCGAAGATTGATAGGAAATACTTGAGATCTACAAGTGTTTCCTATCAGGATCCTAATAAGATGAGTACACCATCAAGAAAGAATTTATTTATAAAGAGAATCAACTTTGTATTTCCAAAGCTTGTCTCATAATATTTAGCTGATTGGTAAAATAGATGATGTACTATATTTTTTGCTTGATTTTTCCTACTTTTTTCTTTTATCAGGTTAGGTTATTGGTTGTCATCTCCGAGCCACGAGAGAAAATGTGAGGATGAGATGCAGGCGAGCTCATTGCCACTCTCTTGTATGCGTATTCGAGGATGACATGCACAAGAAGACAACAGGTTGGCAACTTCATATTTTAATTAAGCCATTTGATATGCAAAATTACAAATGATGATTTGATGGTTAGCAGATTCATTTCAATAAATATTTTAAGAAATTATGTCCCATCATAAACTTTCTGTCAATGTTCTAACTACCTTAATCATGTATTATTATAAATGATTTGTCTAAATTATTATTATTTTGGTTTTATTTGAAAGTGATGGAAAGTAAAGGGAAATGAATTGCATTGATTTCATTTTTATTTTTGGTTTGAAAGAATAACTAAAAAATCGAAGGATGAAAGGCAATCTAATTTTATTTGCACTTCAATTTAAGCAATGTATTATTATTGCATCTTCTTAAAATTGTTTTGGATCATTTTATTTACTGACAATAAATGAAAATTCAAAAAGACAAAAATAACCGAGAATTAATTTAATTGAAATAGTTTCCTTCATCTTTAGATGATAAATTTATTATTTGCATTAAAATATTAATCTCATTAGGATAAATCATTCATCACAAATGACTTGTGAGCTGCCCAAGCGAAACCTAATGCATGGTGATCTAGAGGGAGAGGAATTATTCTGTGTGGAGGCCGGACGCAGTACGTCGTCCAGAGACCAACTATAGTGTAATAAATCGAGCCTTGATACCGAGCGAGGGATTGATGTGATGCATTTTGGTTGATCTCTGGATGATATGCAGCGTCCGTTCCTAGACGGAACTTATTTCTTAGATGCCAATTAGCTCTATGGTTTAGATTTACTTGCCCAAGCTTGCTTGAATTAAGCCCTCAAAGAATTTGTTTGGGGAGATATTATTCTGTGGACACGGAATACAACTTATCGTTCAGAGGCAAATCAGATGCATCCATGTCATCCAGTATCGAGCTAGGTAACTAGCACTACCGAGCTGCGGTACCGAATAGGAGGTGATGTGGTGCATTTTTATTGAGCTCTGGACGGCATTTGACGTAAGCACATAATAATTCATCCTGTTTGGGTATAGTTTATATCTATTTGGGTGCTATGAAACATGATCCATCTTCATCACATGAAATATTTTATGATCCCAACAATCTTAAAATAAAGCTTACATGCCATTAAAAAAATACAATTATAATATAAATAATATCCTTCCAATTAAACTGCTCACTGAACCAAACACTTTCATGTTCTAAAATCAAATCGAATCTCCGGCGACCGTTTTCCATTCGTATTAAAGTTCTTTCAGCTCAGCGCGTGGTCCTCAGTGAGTCCCTGCACCTCCATTAATTCCTCCTTCTACCTCCACAACATTTTCTCTCTCTTCTCCACCACAATAAAACTCTCGCCTTCCTTTTCTCTCTTTCTCTCTCTTCTCTTCCCTCTCCATTCTGCTTTCTTCCTCCCACCTCTCTTTCCCCTCGTCTCCCGCATCCATCACTCGCAATAAATGCAGTAGCTGGGAAAACCCACCCGCATCCCCATCGCCAGCAATTACCAAGAAAACCCGCAGAAAAAAATTAACCGACCCGGTTCCTTCGATCATGCCACAAAACCCTCTTTTTCTCCTTCCTCAATGTCCTCCTACTCCGCCGCCGCCGCTCTTCCCGCCCCCTCTTCTCAACCTTCCTCCTTCCTACGTAGCCTCAGCAATCTCGGATTAGGCTATGCTATAGCTATCGCACTCGGCCTTCTTGTCCTACTCTCCACTCTCCTCCTCGCTTCCTACGTCTGTTGCCGCGCCTCCTCTCGCCGCCGGCGATCGTCATCATTCGATGCTGATTCACTCGGAGGCGTCGTTCTTCCGCGCATCATTTTTGTACCAGAGGATGACGAGGAAGAAGGGCGGGATAATACAGTGTTGGCCGCGGCTTCCGCGGTTGGGCTTGATCCGATCGTTATTGCATCTTATCCCAAGTTTCAGTTTTCGGCCGCGGCTGAGAAGGCCAAAGGAAAGGGAGAGGGAGAGGGAACTTGCGCCATCTGTCTCTGTGAGTATAGGGAGGCGGAGATGTTGCGGATGATGCCGGATTGCGGCCATTCTTTTCATCTCATGTGCATCGATGCTTGGCTTCGTCTCAACCCTTCTTGTCCGGTTTGTCGTAACTCGCCCTTGCCGACTCCGCAATCGACTCCGCTTTCTACTCCGCTCTCTGAGCTCGTTCCTCTCTCCCAATTCGCCGGAGACCGCCGCCGGAGGTGATGATTTTGATGCCCTGTGTTTTCTTTCCATCTCTTGTTTTTATATACAGGTGTGTTGTTTCTGTGATCAGGGATTTTTTTTTTTTCTTTTTTTTGGAGGGTAGATCTGGGAGGCAGCTTAATGTTGATTTAGATGTTCTATTATATTCTAATATGAGATACCTTACCTTCTAGTCTGCTGCTTTCCATGTCTTATTATTTGGATTCTTCCTTTTTGGTTGGAAGCTTCTATATCTGCAATAGTAAAGAAGATAGTTTGAATCTTGAGTGAGATATGTTAGTTCCTTTTTGTTATTTAATTTAATTATGCAATTTGGGATTTGTTCCTGATTTAATTTAATTTTTATTGATGTTCGTTTATTTTTATATTATTTTCAAGAATTTGGAGTTATATCAGTTGTGATTCGTTTCACTTTGTCTTTCTCTGATCCTGAATTAAGACATGATCTACTTGTTTTACATGATTTCTTTGATATAACTTCAGTCGTCTAATTTCAGGAACTAAACTCATGCAACTGATCAATTAGTTGCTCCAAGCTGGGCGCTTATCTTTTTAGTTGAGGCTATCCGATAATTTCCAAAAAAATAAACAATTTATAGATTAGTAGCTGTGGCATTTTGATTATAGAAACTAGATAATATACTGGGCTTCTAGCTTGATTTTTGTATGCCATTTCAGTTCGTTTTGGTTCACGACTGTTCAATTTTTTTCACAAAGCACTTAGATCTTGTCAATAGGAAAGTCTAACTCATGGCTTACTGGCATTTATTGAATCTTAGCTTACTGTCTTGTCAAACTCTATTGAATATATACTGTGTAAAGCTTCTGGGATGAGCTGCCTTAGTGAAAGTATTTAGTTAACTTGTCAGTGGTAATGTGTGTAAATTGCGTTAGAAGCATTCTCAAGTGTAATAGGAAAAGGAATCGGTTTCAAATTAATTTGAAGCATCGTTGGGCATGGCAATGCTCCAGTTTCAGAATTTGATTCTTATCAGCTAGGAAGATCATTTTACATTGCTATTAACTTTCTTTTTCAAAACTCTTAGAATTAGATCTAGATTTTTTCAGGCTTCTTCTCATGTACTTTTACTGAACGTTCCTGAGATTTTACAAGTATCTGTTCAGTGGTAGTTTTAAATAATTCCTGGTGCATGGACAGTAAGTGAACTGACTGAGTGTTTGGGGATTTGTTAAAGAACGAGAAAGACATAATATCAATGTTTGTTTTGTTATTTTCTGTATATCGATCTGGTTCTCTTCCATATGCTTGAATGCTATTTAGTTTATAATCTTGGCAATTATAAATCACTTCCTTAAAGATCCAAGTGAGTGTTTTGACGGGACATTTTATTGAATTTCAATGTTGGAGGGCATTTACTTTAGAGACGTTGATGCTAACCTTTTCTGAATTTTATAAAATGTAAGACTTTCCTATCTGTTCTTGTTGGGGATGAGAGTAAACATCACAATGACGAAACAATGAAGAAAGTAAAACAATGTAAAAATAAAGGGCACTAGGATTTAACGTGTTAAAAGCTAAAATAGGAAAAATAAACCACAAAGCTACACCACACCAAGAAATCTACTATAAAAATTGGGAGAAATAAATAAATATATTTATTGTCTCTCACTCTTTCCTTCTCTTCTCACAGGCACCATTTTCTATGTCTAACATCGCAAAATACAATAGAAAACCAAGTAAATAACCCCAAGGGACCCAACCCTTCAAAAAAATCAGAAAGAAAACTATTCAGTTAGTCTTGTAGTGTTGCAACGCTAGTTTGGGGTGTTGCGATGCTCAGGGCTCTGTCTTATGATGTTGTGGCGCTTAAACTTGCAGCGGTGCGATGCACACAACACTGCAGCATCGAATCCATAATACTGTGGCCCTCTGCTATCTGTCAATCAGCACTGGAACACTTGGGAACACAGCGTCGAGGGGCTTGGATATACAATGCAGAGGTGTTGCACGGGGAAATTTTTTTTTTAAGGTACAAAGCAGGGGGTAAACTCCTCGCACCCCTCAGCGAGACTAGAAATTTGAGGTCCGAGACAACATAGCAATCCGATTGATCAACACAATCAGATTCCACAAATAACAGCTTCATTCTTCTTTTAGTTTGATAGATTTTAATTTGATATTGTATTATAGTTTTTTATTTTTATTTTTAATATTGTATTATAGTTCCCATGGTTTGATTATACTGTTTAAGGTAGTCATAAAATCGTTGTTTTCACAATTCTGTATTGAGTGTGCCAGAGTGCACAACTACGTACCGACGATATACTCTTAGATATTTGCACGTAGCTCTATATACAGCAGTTTGACCTAATAATTTCTCTATGTTAACTGCCTAAGATTACCACACATACCAGCTTCATTCTTCTTTTAGTTTGATAGATTTTAATTTGATATTGTATTATAGTTTTTTTTTTAAATATTGTATTATAGTTCCCATGGTTTGATTATACTGTTTAAGGTAGTCATAAAATCGTTGTTTTCACAATTCTGTATTGAGTGTGCCAGAGTGCACAACTACGTACCGACGATATACTCTTAGATATTTGCACGTAGCTCTATATACAGCAGTTTGACCTAATAATTTTTCCATGTTAACTGCCTAAGATTACTGTTTTATAAGTTTTGTTTTCGTTTATCCTCTCTCATCATCCCCTTGTTTCCTTTGGTCCTCACCTTTATTTTCCTTCCACTATATTTTGCTCTACCATTTGATGCCCCAGCATTAAAAAAAAAAGATTTTCTGTTCTTCCCATAATTTATCTGTTTTGCACTATCTCAACATTTTAATAATTGCTCCGCTCCCTTAATTTTGTTCTAATATCATAACTTCTGGTGGGTTTTGTTCCTTTCTAATCACTTTAAAACATTTCTAAAATTCCATTTCCATGAAAATCTCAAAAAATTGTGCTACTGCCAAACTTAGCTAGACTTAGACTTTAACTTGAGTCAGCCAAACTTAAACCACAGAACCCAACCCCTCGCCTCCCCATTGCCCCTAATTTGGCTTCTTGTCAACGTGATCAAACAATGACCAACTGACACTAACTGGTCAAACCTCATTAATTGTTAGCCCCACTTAAAAAAATCTAAAATCTCTTTCAAAATTTACATTCAATGTATCATACTTGAATTTATATTATTTTTTAAAATTATTAATTTGGAATTAAAATCGTATCCACTATTTGTGGTGGATGTCAAAAATGCATTGTATAGTGTGAGTTCATTGATGCAGATGTGACAGATTCATGAATTCACTGCAGTTGTCCTCAAATTTCTGTGACAAATATAAATATCAATTGTAGAGCTTATTTGAGCTAATTTTTTCCGAGTCAATTAAATTGATTTGAAACTACTCCAGTCAAAGTTTGTGATTTCGTTTTATGTCTTCAGGTTGGGAATAATTTTAATGGGCGATTTACTGGGTATCATATAATTATGTCTATTAGATTGTTATTAGGTTATATAAGGGTAGAAAAAAACCTTCCTATTATGGAGAATTTGAGCATGCAATTAGTTTTCTAATTTGGTTCTTAGAACTTTAGCTACTGGTTAATGGTGGATGTTGGAGGTGCTTGCTGAAGAGTGGAATTCCTTAACTCGGTAAAGACAATGAATTAATTATATATTATGATTGATGCCTGGCTCGATTATTTGTTTAATGCAAGTCTAATGTGCTTTTATTGTTACTATTATTATGGAAGAGAATCCGAGGCAGGTAAAAGACAATCAATTAATTATAAATATGATTTCAATTGCATGTGTCTTGATTCATTTGGATCTGCTTTTCACTGTTTGGCAACTGATTCGTTTGATGCTTCGTTTGGGATTGATTTTCTTACTGCTTCTTAAAGCAGCTTTCTAGTATGAAAATTTTATTTGTTGTATTAGAAAGCTCCTTTAAGAAGCAATAAGAAAGCTGTCCCAAATGAAACCTGAGTTAGTATATAGTTATTTCTACAAATAGAATCGCTCACCCGAAATGAGTCGGACTTCTTGAGCAAGTGGGATCATTAAAGATGTTCAGTTGAGGTCTATCTTTATCTCTATGTTTAAGCCTTATGTTTCTTGTTTCTACTATCTTTGTAGAGGTCATCTTTATCTCTATGTATAAGCAAGTGGGAGTATTAAAGATTTGCTGCTGTTTCAGTAGAGATTTTCTTATGGCTTTCATATTCTGTTATAGAATCTAAAGTATGGTTGATTTTTGCCAAATTGGATTATTATATTATATAAAAATCTACAAAATTAATATTTGTGATTGATTTTTTATGTGGTTATAACATGATTTTGCCCACCTTATATTAAATATGAATTAATAAACTTTAAATTTTAAGATGTGCTAAGTAGTACATCTTTTGATTGAGAGCTTTGACTATCAATTATACGTGATGTATGCGGGGATTTGTCAAAGTGGACCATATCTGAGGCTTTTCCACTGAAAATAGGTGCACGGCTAGGTTGACTAATTTGGAATGGTTTGAATTTGGCTTCATAAATTATAAATAGATTATGAGTTGAACCCAAAAAGTTAATAATTCAAATGTGTTAGTCTTGACTTAACTAAGACTAATATTTGGAATAACTTTTTAAATATTTTTAAAATAATTTTTTTAAAATTAAAAATTTTTGTATTAAAAAAGTGCGTTGTTCAAAATGAAACTAAGTTGTTCAAAATGAAACTAAGTAGCTTGTGACCAATTTAAATTAAAAAAAATTAATATAAAATATTCTTATAAAATATTAAATTTTAATAATTTAAATAGGAAGTTATTAAAAACTACATTTATCTTTCATATTGATTAATTTTTTAATCTTATTTTTTATCAATTAATTGCAGCATTTTGTTTGAATTGAATATCTTTTTATCGTAGCAAATGAGTAGTAGGCTTATGAGTAGATTTCAACTTGTAGAGTTGGGCCCAAATTCAAACTACTCTTCTATTCATTTGTCAAGTTCAAACCAGGGGTGGTTGCATACACGTTTACACTTGCATAATCAATCTTTAAAAGAAATTTATCATAGAATCCTTGTTTTTTAGGTAGCAAACAAGCATGAATTTCTCACCTTCAAAGACTTGTGTTACATGTTAGAAAATTTGAGGTGGTAGAATATTTGATATCTTAATCTTGTGAATTAGAGGGCTATTTTGATGAAGTTGGTTGGAATTTAAAATACTTCATTAAATTATTCATATTAATCTCCTTTGAGCATAAATTATTTATTTAATATTTGAGTTATTTAATGACTTCAAAATTGAATGAGCTTAGGCTAGTTGAATTAATCTCGTTGAGTCACTTGCTTTAGATTTGGTCATTTAATTAACATCTTGGGGCTTTCAAATATGGTTCAATTGAGTTCATTAGGATTCAAATCGAGTCACTTGTTATTTTTATCTCATTAAGATGTTCATTTCAACCATAAGCATATTGAAATAAGAGTTTAGATGATCTTCAATTTAATTCCAAAAATTTTCAATTCAAATATTATATTGAGATTCATGTTGTTCAAGTGTTTAGGGACGTATTAATATATATTATGGGAAAAATTAGATCAAGATATAATGATTTAAATTTTATCACGATGATTTATAACTCTTAGAGTCATGACTTAGGACCATTGCCAGGATACAAGTCTTGGATGAGAGAAATAAAAAGTTGTGTCATAAAAATATTATTTTATTAAAAAAATATATCTAAAGCACTTCATATTTCTTAAGTTTTTCCCTTAAGCCATCTTTAATAAAGAAATGATTTTGGAGTTTTAGAGAAAATAAGAGAGGGAGAGAAAAAAGCTTGGGTTTAATGCTTATAGAGTCATTTTCGTTCGTTGATTAGGTTGGGAAATTTGTTTGTCGTGATGTAGGTTACATTTTGTTTATTTTAATTTTCAATAATTTTGTATTTTTTATATTTTTTTGATTAAATTTGTATTTTAGTTACCGAAAAATGAGGATAACTTTATTTTGGTGAAATTTTTACCGCATAACTTTTTATTTGTTATAGAGATTACAATTATAAATATTTTGCATATATTCTGAAATTTTTTTGTCAACTGATTTAAAAAAAAAAACAGCAATTTGTCTCATTAGAAATTTAATTTTGATATCTAAAAATAATACTTCATTTCAATTAAAGTTTCAGAATAATATTTAACGCAATCCCTATCAATTTGATTATGTTTTAAAACAGTAAATCTTTTTTAGTAATGTTTATATTGCCTACAGTTGAACATTTTGATAGTTTTTGAATTTAATCTTTATGCTTAATTAATGAAATGCTTCAAAAAAATAAGTGAAAGAAATGTGATATGATGTGAAATGATATGATGTGATGTTATGTCGTCGTCAATGGGCGATCGAAGAGGAGTTCTATTATGTCAGCATCGGCAGGCAACTGAGATGAGATTATGTTATGTCGTTGAGGTGAGATTATGTTATGCCGGGGCTTGCGGGCTACCAAGGTGGAATTCTGTTAACGAAGCTATAAAGATAAATAAAATTTTGGACTGAGAAGTATTATGATAAAATGAATATTTGTTTATAATTTATTTGGTTTTAGTTTCAACTTTATCTTTAAGTTCAGTCATTGTTTTTCATACAGTATTTTTACAACATATTATTTTTAGTTCTTTTAGTTTCAGTTATTAATTTATGTTTTAAGATGCGATAGCCTACTAAGCTATGTTAGCTCATTCCTACTTTTGTTTCTATTTTTAGATCAGGAGAAGGATATGGAGCAAGCTGAGTAGTTTTGGATAGCAATATCTAATGTGTTGTAGATATGCTTTTGTTAGTTTTGATTTTTACAGGCTTGACTTTTATTTTATTATTCTATCTATTGTCAAGCGTTGTTATAAATAGATTTTAGATTGTATTTATTTTTTGGATTATATATAGAAAATTATTTTGAGATTCAATAGTCTTTTATTTTATATTGTATGTAGTAGTGACTATATGTAATATATAAATTACAAATTTTATTTTAGTACTTTTCCAACCAAATCTTGGGGTCAATCTTGTCACAATCGGACATGATATGACATGTATAATTTCAAGTCATATCAAATCAGGTTGTGACATAAGCATCCTTATCTCTATAATACTTAATTTTTTTGCTTCTCTTTTAGTAGCTAACATTTTGCGCCAAAATGCATTGCAAGTCTCACCACCATCATGTAGAAATTTTCCATTAAGTTTGAGGGATACTTTTTTATTACACAACAAACCAGATGCATTCCTTCACTTCAACCATCCAACTTGAATTCTATTAATAATATCCTCATCTATTTGACCATCACTCTGAACAATAGACCTGAAATATTTAAAACATGTACATTTATTAATGACTTGGTCGAACAAAATCAAAATATTCATGACTCAAATTTACCTTCAACTCCCTCTCTAATCTTATCAATAAGAAGAATATCATCAACAAAAAGAACACACCATGGTACATCCTATTGCAAATGTCTAGTAAGAATACTCATGACTAAAGCAAAAAAAATAGTACAAAGTATGCGAAATTGTGCTGCTTAATTCCCAATCTATAACAGATATAAATGTTACATTCTTTTTTAAAATTGCATTTTATTTTATGAGATTCATCATTTGCTCAGCCAAAGAGGTCAATTAATACACTGCTCACATTGGCTTCTTGGTTGAGAGCTTAGGCTTCCAACTAAGAGGTATTGGGTTCGAGTTTTGTGTTTGCGTTGTGTGTGTGAATTTGCCTTAAATGACCTAAATGTCCAAAAAAAAAAAAAAAAAAAACAATTCATTCTTACTATAGTTAAAGGCAACTTCTACCATGAAGTTGTGTGTTCCAGCTAAACTTGAATTCTTTATTTTACATATCTATTTGGAGTCCCTTAGTGAGTTTAATGATAGAAAAGGCATGTGAGGATCTTTCTACTTAATGGTGCCAGCTTCGCTAATGGATGTTTGGCTGGTTTGTTTTGTTTTTTAATATACCAAGTACTTTATTTCCTAGATTTTGGATTTTTTTAATGAAACTTTAGGGTTCAAAGTGTTCAAAAATGGAAATGATAATTTTCAAAAATTATTTTGAAGGATGAAATGGACTTTAAATTTTATAAATTTCTAGCTCATTACATTGATTTCAATGATATCAATATATTTTTGATCCATAAATGTTTTCAGAATTATTATAGTCAATTCAAGTATATTATTCTTAATATTTAACTTCATTGGATTTATGTTATTGACTATTTGAACAATTCTAAGCTGATTTAAGAGTGAGATAATCCTATAAGTTTTTTATTTAAGAGAGAGCACACATAGTTTTTAATCTTATAGTTTGAATTCATCTCTCTTATTTTAAAAGAAAGATTATCCGAACTAACACACATCATTATATAAACACATTCAATATAATAAAATAATTCATTATAACCTCTATATATGACATAAATTATCTTTTTTATTATATAATATCCCAATTCAATATAATCTCCACAACATAATATAATAGATCACATAACATAAGCACTAGAAAAATGTCACATATGAGAAAAAATTAAAATTGTATTTTAACTTTTTATAAAAGATCAAAATAATTTACAACTATTTTAAATTATTATTTTGATCTTTATATTTTTTTGGGAAAAATCTTTATAATTTTTTTTAAAAAGTATCAAAATAATCCGATGATGAATTTATTTTGATCTTTTCCTATTTATTTCGCTATATTATATTGATTATTTTGCCGATTACATTCCTTTTCAAATTAATTATTATATTTTCCCTAAGCACTCACACACTATTGCACTATAAACCCTTGCATCGGTTTTCGTCACCCCGTGCTCTGTTGCCTTCTCCAGTTCTCCCTACTCTGTAACTGTGCGAGGAGAGAGATGTGTCGGAGCAACCAAAACTCGATTCTGTCCCAAACCCGCACCATCCTTCCTTTCCTCATTCTCCTCTTCGCTGCCGCCAGTCCTTCACCGGCGAACCCCACCTTCCGGCCGTCGTCAACACTCGACCCAAAGCAGCTAACCGCACTCCAATCCATGGGCCTCCCCGTCGGCCGCGACCCATGCAGCAACCCTTCTCCCCACAACAACGCCACCGCCTGCGACTCCGGCACCCCTTTCCGCCACCTCATCTCCCTCCGCCTCTCCAACTGCTCCCCTGACCTCGACCTCTCTCCCACTGCTCTCCGTTCCCTCCACACTCTCCGATCTCTATCTTTCTTCCGCTGCCCTATACCTCCAATCAAACGCTTTCCCTCACCTCTCGACTCCTCTCTCCGCTCATTCTCCTGTATCTCCTCCCTCCGCCCTCTATCCGGCATTCTCCTTTCCCATCTCCATAACCTCACTGATCTCTCCATCAAAGACGTTCCCATCTCCGTTTCTTCTCCCTTCATTATCTTTTCCCAGATGCATAACCTTCTCTCCGCCACCATTTCCAACACCACCCTCTCCGGCCAACTCCCCCGCCATTGGCATTCCCTTTCCCTCTTCCACCTCGACCTTTCCTTAAACATGCTTAAAGGCCCCGTTCCAGGATCCATTAGCCTCCTCGAATCCCTAGAGTTTCTCAATCTCAGCTCGAACTCTCTTACGGGACTCCTCCCAGATGCTATCGGTGACTTAATCTTTCTCAAAACTGCATCGTTCGCACGGAACGCGCTCTCCGGACCCATTCCAGAAACAATGGCGGCCATGCCGGAGCTTACTGAACTCGATCTGAGCTTCAATCAGTTCAATAGCAGCATACCCCGGTTCTTGTCGGAGATGAAATCGTTAACGCATTTGAATCTGGAGAGCAATAATTTCCAGGGGGTTATTCCATTCAACTCCTCCTTCATCAAGAGACTCGTGGTTTTCAAGGTAAGCGGAAATAGCAATCTCTGCTACAATCGTTCTGTTCTCTCGTCTAAACTGATGCTCGGCATCGCTCCCTGTGATAAGTACGGCTTGCCGGTGCCACCGCCGCCGGGGAAAGCAGACAAGGATGACTCTTTCTCCGATTATGACTATGGTGGAGAAGACGACGGCGGTGGCGGGGAGAAGGGTGGCGGAGGTCACCATGGGGTAAATAAGCTTGTACTGGGAGTAGCTATTGGTCTTTCCTGCTTGGTTTTCCTGGTAATTTTTCTTGTTTGCCTCTCTAAGATATATGGATGAATTAGAGAAAATATTTCATTTTTCTTTTCCGAGGTTTTTATGGTTTGGCAATTTTAATTTCTTTTCGGATAATGAATTCAGTTGTTTTATTTTGTTTTTGGTTACATAACATAATTAGGGTGATTAGTTGTTAAGTAATTGTGATTTCTAAAATATAATATCCACTTTATCTGTTAATGAGTTGTAATTAGGATGTTATAGTGCTTTAATTAATTAAGATGCTGAGTAATTAAATTGCTTTGATAAGGTTTTCTTCTGATTAGTCAGAATATTTAGGATATTACTTTATGTTTAGGATGTTGAAGTGGCTCGATTATTTATTTTATGAAGGGGTTAATTTGGAAAATTTAAATTATGATACTAAATTATTGAAAGCAATTTATATTTAAGAATAAATTTGATAAGTAAAATTAAATATGTATTAAATAATCAACTATTTTATTTTAATTTTATAATGGTGAGCATAAATTTTATGAAATTGTCTGTATATTTTGCTAAAGTATATTAGGGGTGTCAATTCGGGTCGACGGGTCGAGTTCGGATCGAACCCGAGTTGACACGGATCTAAACGGGTTAACTCGAACCCGACCCGTTTTTGCAAACAGGTTGGACATTTCAACCCAGACCCGACCTAGCCGGGTTGACCCGACCCGACACGCCCGACCTAGCAGCGAGCGACGACATCGCGGTAGCCGGCTCGCAAGCCACGGTGTGGGCGTGGCAGCGAGCAGTGCGGGTTAGGCAGCGCGGGTTCGGCAGCGCGGCAGCAGTTCGAGGCAGCGGGCAGCGCAGGGCAGCAGGCAGAGAGCGGGAATTCAAAAAATTTTAAATTAAACGGGTTTTCGGGTTCACCCGACAACCCGCTAGGTCAACCCGAACCCGACCCGTTTTATCAAATGGGCCGAATCTACGAACCCGAACCTGACTAGTTTATCAAACGGGTCGGGTCCAACCCGGATTTTCCGGGTCGGATTTTCGTGTCGTGTCAACTATTGACACCCCAAAAGTATATCACATCATAATACTAATACAAGATGGCATTGCGAGCTTAAAAATAGACTATTATTCTCACTTTCGTAAAGCTTGTGATAGAGGACAAAAGGAGATCAATTATTGTAGCAAATCTTATCGAAATTTAATGGCAATTTAACTGAAATTTGGATATAGTGTTAGCAAAAGTGCAAAAGCTTACCAAATTTTCATCAAATTTTGAAATATTCTAAGTGGTTGAAAACTGTCATGAAAGATGAAAATTCAGTCCTGATATATCGTCAAAAAATTATCTTGATTGGGAACGAATCTGAAGGCAAAGTTGAATTGTAAGCTTCCAAAATTAAATCTTGGTCCATCCAAACTCCGATTTTAGCAAACTTATGGTTGAGCTGAGCATTTCGAAAATACAAACCAACGACATCAAATTCGATTCAATCTATTAGCCCAAATGAGTCCAAATCAAAGACCCGAAACACATTTGAAAGGTTTCATCCATAATTTTGATTATCAAATAGTTTTCAAACTTGACATGCTTATAGTCAAATTGAGCGGCTCGACGAGACAAATCCAACGAGCCCAAGATTGCTGAATTTTGATATCAATGAGATCAATATCGGCCGTCCATTAAAACCACTCCCATCTTGACCTTGATCCTCTTCATATTTACAAGTCATGACATTATCAAAAAACTATAAACAAGCCTCCATTCTTCACATGAAGGGGGAGGAAAGGAGGGTGATAAGGGAAGAATTTGGGAGGTTGTTTGTCGCCGACCACCATCGAAGTCCCTTGGCCACCGCCGGACTTCCGCATGTCCGCCCCTTGAGTTCTTCCCGACCACCGCTAAACTTCCGCCAGTCCGCTGACAACTGTCGAACTGCCGCCGGACTCTTACCCATCCGCCGCCGAAGTTCTTCCCGACCACTGCCAGACTTCCACTAGTCTGCGATTACTGCCGAACTTCCCCCAGTCCACCGACCACTTTCGGACTTCCGCACGTCTACCGCTGGTGTTCTTCCCAACCACCGTCGAACTTCCGGCAGTCTGCCGACCACCGCTGAAGATCTTCCTGTCCGTTCCCAAACTTCTTCCAATCCACCGATGACCACCGAACTTTCGCCAATCCATCGACCACCGCCGGACTTCCATAGTCCGATGACCACCGCCGAACTTCCTCCAGTCTGCCTACCACTACTGCACTTTAGCCCATTCGTCGACCACCACCAAAGTTCTTCCCGACCGCCGCCGGACTTTCGCCGGTTCATTGAACTTCGTCGGACTTCCACCTGTTCGTCGACCATTACCGGACTTCCGCCTGTTCGTTGACCATAGCCGAATTTTTGCTTGTTTGTCGACCATGGCCGAATTTTTGCCCGTTCTTTGACCACTGCCAGAGTTCTTTCCGACGTCCATCGGAATTCCACCCGTTCGTCAATCATTACGGTCCTCCCGACCTCCGTCGCTTGCCCACTACGGTCCTCCTGATCGTTGCCACACAAATACAATCCTTCCAACTACATTCGCCCGTTGACTACGGTTCTTCTGACGGTTACCCAACTACGGTCCTCCCGACCTCCGTCGCTAGTCAACTATAGTCCTTCCGACCTCCGTTGCCTGACTACGATCCTTCTGACCTTCGTCGCCCGACTACGGTCCTTCCTACTTCCGTCGCTTGACTACGATCCTTCTGACCTCCGTCGCCCAACTACGGTCCTTCTGACCACCGTCATCCGACTACGATCCCTCCGACCTACATTGCTCGCCGACTATGATCTTGCCACCCAAATGAATATCAACTTTAATTCTTCCATTTCCTACTATATAATGCACTCTATATGATGTATATTTGCTACATCAAGCCAAGATTTTCCTTCTAAGAAAGAGTCTCATTTGCAATCAATTGCAAACAATAGTGGATTCATTCAAAGTGGATCAAACCTGTGGTTTTCCCCTTTTTAAGAGTTTCCACGTAAAAATTTTGGTGTCTCTTATAAATGATACACCCTCTATTTTATATGATTGTGTGCTGAATCTTCGTACAAAGCTAAAATGTTAAACTATATATTTTCTCTACCGCCATGAATATTCCAAGACGCAGCAAGCCCGAACAAATATTATAACATGCATTCGAATTTGTTCAAAAGCAACATACTTTGTGTTTTATTTATTCAAATTCTAGCTAGTTTTGTTTGTAGACACTGATATTATTATTAGAAGAAGAAGAAGAAGAATTTGTATATATAGCATTTAAAATATTATGATTTATATATTAAACGTACAAATTTTATTATTTAAATCATGTAGCACCTCTATTTGAAACTTGCTAGACACTTGCCATATGCCTTCTCCAAGCGAGAAAATGAAATGTCCCGATAATTAATCAATTCCATCATTGGCTTTGCTGTGAGCTCTCATGTGATTCCTTGCTGCTTATTGCCGAGGGTTTTTGTAGGACTGAAAGAGATAGATGTTGATTGAGATGAGAGAGGCAACATGAGGTTAAGTAGGCTGCGATCGATCGAGGTATATTTTAGCTGAAAATTTTCAAAATTAAATTTAGAACCCCAAACTCTGATATCAACGATCTTATAGCCAAATTAAACGTCTCGGCAAGAAAAGTCTAATGACACCAAAATTGGCCCAATTCAAGTCTAGATGGACTCGAACCAAGTGACTTAAACATATTCAAAAGTTTCAAAGCATTAATTGGATAACCAAATAATTTCCAATTATAACATTTCTATAGTCAAATTGAGCGGCTTAATCCAACGAGCTCAAAGTCACTTAATTCTGACATCATTAAGTCATTTGAATGCTTGATAAAAGCTCTATGATGAAATGAATCAATAAAAATCGTTGATGAAGCACTCTGACTTTGCTCTAGATTTTCTTTATATTCAAGGAACATGCCAATCCCAAAACCCTCTAAATATGCCTACATTTTTCGCAATAGGGAGGAAGGAGAAAGGATAAAGAGAATTCAAAAGAACTCTCATACATTTTGTATCAATCATCGTTGACAACCATCATCACCATTAAGGATCAGCATAAGAATTCTCTATCATCTCCAAATTATTGACAAGATTTAACTCTGCTATTGAGCTTAAAATTTCAACTATAAACATATGCTTTTTATAACCCCTAATAGGAAAATCAAGTCATATTGTTAGATATTAACTATCATATTTGATTATGTACTCTCCTTCTTCAACAGTGAAGAAAGGAGTATCGTTGTATCATTTCTTATTAAATGGATTTTACAGCTGGATCAAACTCCTTGATTTTTTCACTTTTCAGATTTTCTACATAAGAATTTTTCTGGTCTTATTACTTTTATCTATACATGTTGAATTTTTATACAACATTAAGACGCAAAACATACACTCTACTAACTCAAAATTTTCCAACATGCAATAATAGTTTTTTGATAAAAAGTATTATTATTTTATTTTAATATTTTGAAGGTTACATATATAAATAATAAAATTTAGATATTAATTTATTATGTGCATAAATCTTCTTTATTACCATTATATTACTTTAACAACCCTCGCTTAAACTTATCATAAAGTGGGGAAGAGAGAGAGAGAACCTAATTATGAAGAGAGGGGGAAAGAGTCTATGCCAAGAAAAAACAAGGACGGTAATAATCAAATAAAATAAAAATTAAAATATTGCAATCAGATATGTAGCTTACACGTGAAAGCTAAAATAGACATGACTAATGAAATAAGGTCTAATATTCCCTTATCGCGTAAAATGAAACAAAGCAATATGAAATATATATAAAACAATCGAAAATATTGAACAGTCGGAACTTTAGGTCTTACTTGGAAAAATATTGAATTTTGATGATATATTTCATTTAAATACGCAATATTTTTTAGTGTAATAATGTGAATAATCAAATATAGGGAGCTGACACGGTGACAGAGAGGGCTTCAATCAAGACAGCCCATTGTCATGTGCATAATGAAAAAGTATAATAAGATGAATCATATTGGTGATGATTTATTTATGCCATTCAGATTTATGGAATTTCATATATTGCATTTTTTTTTTAATTTCCAAAATAATGAAAGAAAGCTATAGATAGTGTGGTGGTTGTCATTTGTATGCAAATATTGGAGCAAGTACATTTTCTGCAGTTTTGAGAGGTCTTGA